TATTAGAGTAGACAAAATGTAAAAGACTCAATGGTTGAGTGCCCCTGAGTTCAATCTCTGGTACTCAAAAAAAAAAAAATTAATCTGTCGGTGACAGAGATCAGTGGTTTCAGTAAAAAGGGGCGAGCAAACTTCCTGCAGTGATGGACATGTTCATTGTTATTGATTGTGGTGATGTTTCACAGGTGCACACTTGCATGTCAAAACTTCCCAAAATGCACACTTTAGATATGTGCAATTTCTTGTATGACACTGTATCTCAATAATGCTAACTTTTTAAAAAATCTCATTTGGGGGCACAAATCTTCACTTGCATATCAAAGCACCCAGAATATTTTAAAAGTGAGTATGAGTTTGGGGAAGTGCAAGGTTTTTATTTTTACCTACATCTGAAGCACTCTTCTTCAGAATGCCCATCTTGTGCTTTTAGCTAGTTGAAAGTAAAGTGGAAATCTGAGGTTATTTTAGGTATTTATGATGTTTATGGTACCAGGGAAGATTTCCTAAAGACTAAAGATATCCAGTTCTTTGATTCTCAACCTTAGGGCTATAAGAATTTACCAAGTGTTAAAGAAAGAACATATATTCCTTTAGGAAAAAGATAACTGGGCTTAAATATATCAAAAGGTGGTATACTTTTATGTAGCCATGTTATTAATATATATCCTGAAACCATGTGAGTTGTCACATCTGCAGGGTTAGATAGTGATGGTGGCAGGGAGTAAAATTAGAAAGAGAGTTATAAAGAAACTGGAGATTTCAGAAGTAACTGAATTCAGAAATTAGGATAGCAATAGAGTTATTTCCTGGGAATTCATGTTTAGAAAGCAGGGTGAGGGGCACACCTGTTTGGGGGAAATCAGATGAAAGAAAGAAGAAAACAGTTAAGTTGGGTTTGGAGTGGGTGTGGGTAGAGAAGTACTGGAATGGGACTTTGTACTTGTTCCTTAGTAACCAAGAAAATAAGAGTATTTATTTGGTATGCTTATTATAGACTCAAAGATAAAATAAGTAAACTAGGATCACAAAAATTTTAGGGGGAACCCAATGACCTGCATAAATACTAAATTTTGTTTTACATACCAATCTCACTCAGCACATGTAGCTGAGTGAGGCTGGGCGTTTATAACTTGCATAACCACAGATAGGGTACCTTATTCAAACGTAAAAAATATGGTTTATACCACCCTGTGAAGAGAGGAATTTGAGAATGCTATGTGCCTTCTATCAAAACTCATGCACAACGTGCTATTTATTGCTGTTACAAAATGCTGACCATATTTCTCTAGAATATTATTTAATTTTGATGGCTTTTCAACTCTTCCTATTAAAATAGAAGTTTTAATAGAGAGTTTAATATGTTCTTTCTTTAACACTTAGTAAATTCTTATAGTCCTAAGAATGCCTACAGAGAGGACAGCCTTTGTGGGTAGCTGCATTAGATGAGAAAATACAAGGGTAGGAGAGGATAGGGCTAGAATAAGAGCAAGAAGCTACTGACCATGAAATGGATGAAGAGGATATACTATGACTCTTTAAAACTACTATTCTTACATTAAAAAACTGGAGATTTCCTGATTTCTATCACAAAATTCTTCCATTGTATAGCAATGGTTTTAACTGACAGAGAATGGATAGAGAAGACCCACCTGGGATAAGAGTGCCAAGGGGAAGGGGGAGAAATAGGAGTGGGGTGGGGAGGAGGAGGAGAAGTATAGACAGGAGAAATCCTGCTCCTGAGAAGAAAAAATTATTTTTCTCTAAAATGTGGATATATCACAAAAGTAGTGTGAGAGCCTTCTCAATGGTGATGACTATGGGGAATGATTTGGACTAGGTTAAGCATATTAAAGCCTAAGTAAGTTTTCTCTCCTGGGCAGCTATTTTCATAAACACTGCTATAAAGTTTCTAATATTACAACAGGACTTAGAACATTCTATGAACTCGATGTACACATATTATTTTTATGAGTTTAGAATGTGTCAATGGTTTCATTTTCTGATTCTATGTGTGCTGTCTGTTGGATATTACCACTTGACTTCTGTTTACACCTGTAACTTAACCCCATTAGCCAAAATATTTACCAACTTTTGCAATTCCCTTCATTTGCTCCTCTCCTTCATCTCACTAAGACAGCCAGTTACTCCACTTTATCAATCCTTCCTTTGTAATTTCTCTCATATTTTTTCCTTTTAAAATTTTTATGGTGATCCTATAATCAGGCCTTGATTGTCTTGTGTGCATATTATAAAAACTTCAAACTGTTCTTCCTTTTCAGAGCATGGAGTCCTCCTGTGTGGGTAGAGTGGAGACAGGAGAAAGGGATGACTTTCCTGCCCCTAGGCATATCAAGTGAGTGCCAGCAAGGCAGCTCAGGATGGAGGGGGTGGGATGGGTGGAGTGGCTCTCCTCTCTGCCTCTTAGAAACTGGAACAGAGAACAGAGATACTTAGTGACCCAAGGGAAAGGAGGACTGAAGCTGTAATTCCTGTTCCTTGGTATCCCCAGGTCAGAGCAGGGTCTTGGATACCTTGGCTAAAAATTTTCTTTTCACTTACTGTGGCTTCACCTAGACAGTGTATAAGTTTCTTGAGGACATATACTAAGTTTTTCCTTATACAAATTATTATAAAAAGGCATATTTGTTTTGTTGATATTGTAGATATAATTCTATTTCATTATTTCAGAGTCATATATTTCAGTTCCCCTTCAAGATCCATTTGGATGCTCTTTGGAGATGCTTATATATTAGGTCATTAAGTTTCCTTGAATTCAATTGAATTATTTAGGGTTTAGAGGCCCTAAAAACGCTCAATAAAAAAATTTGCCCTTGACAGTAGTTCAGAACTTCCTTTTAAAGTTCATGTTTGAAAGCATGATTTTTTTTACTTATTCTCAGCATTCAAAAAAATTATTTTTTTATTCTTGTCAAGAATAAAAAATTTCTCATTTTAATGTCCCTCATGATCTTGTCAGATGCCACAGTACTTTAGGGTTTTTGAATTCATATAAAATATTCCCAGAGACTGCCTACCAATACCAACTCAAATTTTAATGCTGATCACTTTTTTTTGCAGTTCTTGTCTTTTCAATACTAGAAGACTTTGTGAGAGAAAAATGCAAAAAAAAGTCTACTTTTGCTTCACATAATCTACTTTTGTTACAAATAAATGGTCCTGAAGAATTTGAGTTATCAGCTTACCAGTTACTCTGCTGAGACTGGATAAACAAATGCTCCAAAGGCCAGAGTTTATGCCTCAAATTCAGCTTGTAGTGTGACTGCCCATCCTGGATGTCATAGGAATTTAAACACTGAGCCTTAAAGGATGACACCCTCTATGTCTTTTTAAAAACAGTCATAAAAATCACAAACTACCACATTAAAATCAAATTTGCAATAACAAAATTTTTAAAAAGTTAATCTTAACTTGCTTTTTTAGTTCCTGAACTCTTGACTCCCAATCACTCCACTAAATACATATTCATTGTCAACTTTGCATTGTAAGAATCACTATGCACTGAATGAGCAGTCAGGCGATCTGGTTATGAGATCCAGCTTTGCAAATAATTTGCTGAATAATCTTGGGTCTGACATTTACTCTCTCCAGTTCTCTATCTCATTTAATAATAAGAGGTTTGAAGCATTTAGATGATATCTAAGCTTGTTTGACTCAATGCTATGATTCTATTCCTAAAGAAAAATCTGAATTAATTAGACCATGAAATTCTCTCTTTCAATAGAGGGAACTTAACTAAATTTCATTTCTTTCTATAACATAATTGGACATATTGATACTGAATAAGGCAGTGAGGAGTTACACCTAAGCTTTAAGATTTCCTACTGATTCAAATGGAAATGCTAAGATATTAAGGTATTCTTTCTTCTAGCCTGATTCAACCTTAGTAAAAGATATAATTCCTTTTTGGTAAAAAGAAGAGAGTCTTGGTTTAAACCAACATACAAATTAGTGGAACATAGAGCGTAGCCTCACAAGGCTCCATTCTTGACCTGTTGAACTTTTAACATTTTTGACAGTGAACTGAAGGAGACATATTTTCCAAATCAAACTTAGGAAGCATATTTAATGGGTTAAGACAACAGAATTAAAAATCAGGAGGATTTGAAAGAATCTCTCAATGAATTAAAAAAAAGCCAATCAAATAAAAACCAACCAATCAACCAAACCAAACAGACAACCCACAAAATCCAAACCAAGAAGATGGAAGTTACCAGGAATGAAGGTTAAATCCTGTGTCTCACACTTGGTACCCCCCAAACTTATCACCTACTCCCCACCAATAAAAAGAATGAGGACAAAATTGCTTGAAAACTTGCATGAGCACCTCCCCATCATCCCAGTCTCACTCAATGACGTTCTACATGGAGCTGATGGTGCTGCACAAAATCTTAAAAGGTGAATACGTGATTGCATTGCAGGCACAATAGTGCACAAAACGAAGAAACAAAATGCTCCCTTATATTTTCTACAAAGCGAACCTCACCTGCAGTTATGGATCTAGTTAAGGGCACCATACTTAATAAGGCTGTGGCGAATCCTTCTTGTCACGTCGTCCCTAGTTGGAGATTTTGGATAGGTAATTTTGCAGCCACATCACATGAATAGCGCTTGAGGGTCTAAGGAGTCCAGTTTGGAGAGAGTAAACATAGGAAGCACGCAAAGGGAATGTCTTAGAAGCAAGCAAGCAAGCAAGCTGTGCGAAGAGGCTGGCAGCAAGGGCCCTCAGCACCCCGCATCCCCGCACCCCGGCGGCGCGCGGGTGACCAGCTGCACCGCATGGCTCTGCGCGGTTCCAGGCGTCTGCCCCGGCGCGGGCGCGGCCCCACCGGGATGGCGGTGACGAGCCGTGACGACTCAATGGTTGCCTGGGCGCGACGCAGGGGTTCGGTCGAGTGCGGCGTGGCAGGTCTCTTCGAAGCGCCTCTCCTTTGGAGCCGGGGCTGTGAGCGTGCATTGGGCGGCCGTCGGGGCCGAGAACCATGAGCCCCGGGGGCGCGGGCTGCTCCGCAGGGCTGCTACTGACCGTGGGCTGGCTGCTCCTGGCGGGCTTCCAGTCCTCGTGTGGGACCAATGTCACCGCCATTCAGGAACCCCCCTTGGTCCACGAGACCCACGAGGTCCACGAGATCCACGAGGTCCACGAGGCCCACGATCCCCACGAGGGCCCCGAGGCCCACGAGGCCCACGAGGCCCACGAGGGCGAAAGCGAAGGCGATAGCGACAGCGACAGCGACAGCGAGGACGACACCGGTGACAACAACGAAAGCGAAGGGGACAACAACGAGGGCCCTCTGCCTGATAACGAGGAAGCTGGTGAGAGCAGGAGGCTCCTTGACAGGCGTCCAGAGGCACCTGTTGAGGGCAAAAAGCTGCCTCTTTATTTGCCGAATAATAATGAGAATCACCTTTGTTACCATTTGTAGAGCTTTCTTGCATATAACAGCCCTGCGTTTATCCATTTTGTGCATCTTATAGCTTTGAAGAAGGATGTACTGATTGTCCAAGCAAGATAACCAAATAAGCATATGAAGAAGCCACTTAAGAAATAGTTTTCAATATTGCTTTGGAGAAAGAAAAACTTTTTTTAAAAGGGGTGAAGGTAGCTTCCTACCAAGAGGAAATCTTGGTTTTGACTCTTGTTGCAATAATTTCCCCTCCCCATTGTAGTTTTTATTGTTGTTTTTAAAGTTAGAAATTGCTGGTAGCCCTCTTTCTTTCCACATTTCCCCTTAGGGTGGGAACTCAATGGAATTTATAATTCCCTTTACTGTGACACATCTAGATAGCCCACAAAACTGCCCATGTATAGGCCATGTCACCTTTGTGCAGCCCCTTACCACTGAGCACTTCCACATTGTTGTAGTGTTTTATTTGTATGTTTAGTTTCAACAAAGGAATGGTGGCAGTAGAAAACATTTATCAAGGGATTCAACTAATGGCATTGTTAGATGATAACGTATTAACCAAGGGAGAATGAGCCTGTGCTTGGTACATAAATTTGCCTTATACTGTTGGCTCATTAAGCAATAAAACTTGACAAGCTGCTGTACATGTTATATTGATTAGTAACTCACATGCTGGTGGGTAAAAGGTCAGTTGCAGGTTTGCAGTCTTCAAAAGGATGATTCCCTTTCCCCATAAATGACCCAGCTGATGCTAAATTCTTTTAGTATCTTTAGCATTCTTTTGTCTCCTCAATCTATATGTACAGAGTGGGTGCTGTGTCTATCAGCCTTTGTTTCATTTCCCAATGATAGATAGTGACCCTCAGCATGGAAAGAAATTGACTATCTGAGTTTAATAGTGGGATCCAGGCTTGAACTGCCTTGATTACATTATAGAGAGTTTGAAAAGGTCCTTGACTTTGGAAATGTGAAAAAAAAAAAAGATGAGAAGGGCAGCATATGTTCTAAAGCAGTGTAGCTATTGCTTCAGTATATTTTTCAAAAAAATTGAGTGAACGATTTTAGTGTTAAACTAATGAAGGGATACTTCTAGCTGTAAAATGATAAATATTAAGTTAAACCCAGGTGATGAAGTTACAATGCCTTACATTCAAACTCAAGTGTAAGTAAGTTACTTATTCTCTCAGTGTCTAAGTTTCCTCATCTGTGGACTTGAGAGATGTATAATTTCATGCATGTGTTTTATCTGGGTAGATTGAGAATCTAGAACTATAAACAACCAGAAAGTTTTCAGGACTCTTGTTAAAATTTGCACAGATCTTCTAATTCTGGAGGATCAGTAAAATCAGGCATCACCATTACTATCCAGTGAACTATTATGTTTTTCACTTTTAAATAATTTTACAAATAATTTCCAAAAGCAAGAATAAAGGGTTAGTGAAAACAACTTTGTTAGAAATTTTAATAAAAATATAAACACACCAAAACCCCAATTTTTATTCCTTGTATCTTAGTTTTGAAGGTATTCATAACTTAACAGTTTTGAAGGTATTCATAACTTAACTTGAAAGAAGTTTGAATAAAACTAAATGCTCAAACTGTTAAGCCATAAACCTGTAATATATCCATCATATAAATACTGATTCCAGATTTCAAGTACATCTCTAATAAAGTCTAGATTATTATTACTCTGGTTCTTTTTGCACTTATATTGTCAAAGCACAATACTTTTGAAAACTTTGACGGTACGTATTTTGTTAAAGAGATGAATGCCATCTTTTTGCTGCATAATTGCAGAACACTTTCATTTTCAGTTTATAAACAACAATTGAAATGATTAATTCAATGAGTTTTTTATTTTTTATTTTTAAACTAGCAAAATTTTATTTAACAAAACTAATTTAGTATAACACATGATCATTATCTTTTTTGTTGGTTTTATTTTTTAAATACATGACAGTGGAATGCATCACAATTCTTATTACATTCATAGAACAAGTTTTGATATCTCTGTATATAAAGTATGTTCACACCAACTCATGTCTACATAGATGTACTTTAGATAATGGTGTCCATCACATTCCTCCATCATTGCTAACCCCCTGACCCCACCCTTCTCCTTCCACCCCTCTGCCCTACCTAGAGTTCATCAATTCCTCCCATGCTCCCTCTCCCTTCAATGAGTTTTATTCATTTCTAACCTATCTATTTCCTTCCAGTCACCTTTATTTATACGTGTCATCATAGTTTGTCCATTTTCAAATCTTGTCAAGTAAATCTTTGTGCATAAACATCGTGCAAAAAAAAAAAAAGAATACTGTCCACATCCTTTTAGAAAACAGTATGGTCTTGTTGTCACAAAATATTTCAAGATCAAATTCTTCCTATCAAAAATATAACTGGATGAGAACACCATATTTTCTTTCATTCTTAGAAATACAATGCTCACTCCTTGTTTTTTTTAAAAAAATTATCCAGGATAGTCACCTAAGATACTATCATCTCTCACTGAGATTCAGCTTATACAAAAAAAAAAATCAATTTCACCATCACCATTTTCATCTAAAGTTCTGCTATCTGTGTTCATCTTCTGACTCATTCAATAATTTAGAAATGTTTTTCTCCATCAATTTTCTTCTCTACCATTATGGTCAAAAAATGAAAAATTCTAAAGTTTGTATTTTATTTAATGAAAACCAGAAATAGCCTACATGAAAAGTGTCTTTAGACTTGTTTCATATATTCCTGGGGTAACGTGATGCTTTGGGCAAAGCAATAAGAAAACTGATGCAATAGCTATGATTTACTTCATAATTACATCATTTGTTTAGGCAATGCCAATCCTTCTTCAATTTTATTATTTTAGTCTTTTTAAAAAATAGTTGTGAATAATTAATGAGTGATGATAAAATAACATCATTACAGATGATAAAAAATAATAAAATGTTTCAAAATAAAGGAAAATTATGAAGATATTAGGTTTGTATCCTTATGCCTTTTATCCTTTTATATATCTTTAAAATTATATTTATACCATGAGAGTGTGTGTGTGTGTGTGTGTGTGTGTGTGTGTGTGTATCATTAGATTTCAAAGGGTCCAAAAAGCTAGGCACAGTGGGACATGCCTATAATCTCAGCACTTGGGAGGCTGAGGCAGGAGGATCACAAATTCAAAGTCATCCTCAGCAACTTGGTAAAGCCCTAAGCAAATTAGCAAAACTCTTGTCTCAAAATTAAAAATAAAAAAGGGATAGGGAATGTGGGTCAGTGGTTAGTGGAGAAGCCTCACCACATTCTTGCCTCTTATTGAACTGTTGGATTCTATTCATTTTTTTACCCTTTTTTTCTATCAAATTAAGACAATCAATACAATATTTCTGATAGTTAACTTTTGAGCTCTAGGTATAGGACTTTTTATTCTCCTAAAATTTTTTTTTTGGCATTTGCCCATTCTTCACCCTTTCATTTTTAGATACAGATTTACATTTGAACACATTTGCTATCCTTCATAGCTTTGCAGAATTCTGGATTCAGTCAGCATGATATCAGGGTTCTTTTTTTTTCAGGTCATTAATAAAAATGTTGAACAGGACAGAGCCCCATGACACATCACTTCTTCCACATTCCCTCCAACTGACAAATTTGCATCTGTGCATCATCCTGTTTGGCCAATTATACATCAAACTTTGCTGACATTCAGATCATATTTTCCCTTTTTATTCACTGGTGTATAATGGGAAATTTTTACAAATGTCACACTGAAATCCAGATACATATAGTTACAAAAAAAAAAAATTGAAGTGACCTAATGGACATTTAATACATCAAAGAACATTAAAGCTAAAAAGAACTTTAGAGGCTTCTGTGATTCAATCTCATTTTTTTTCCTATAAAGAAGCTCAAGTTAGAAGAAATTGAATAATTTCTCAAAGCAATATAGGTGGTAAATAGTAGAGCTAATTGAGTAATGGATTGTGAAAAGAAGCTGTGAGTAGTCTAGTACTCATTCTCTTACCTATGTTTTTTATGTTCAGGCTTAAGCTTTTAACTTATTTCTTATTATGTGCAAGTTGAAAGTATTTAAGCATTTCAAGCATAAAAAGTCAGTTCAAAATTAATAAGTTATGATAGTCTAATTCATTTATTTAACAAGGTCAATAACTGATTTACTTATATGTATTGAGTACCTACTGTGCATTCAAAGTAACAATATTTGATGCTTGTACAGAATGAAAAGCTTATGGAACTATTGAGGTTTTACAATAATTCAAAATAGGAAAAATATCAATACCATGTGATATTAATAACTACAAAACAAGTTTAATTTGCATAATTATGACAACTTTGGCATATTTGTAGTGCTAAACAATTTATAGAATTATTTTGTGTGCATTATCTTATTTAATTCCAACAATATCAAATCAATCAGGGTTTCCTTTCCAAATGTAACAAAGGCTAACTAGGTATGACAGAATTTAATTAATTTGCCCAAACTCAAAGAGCTTGTTAGTGTTAGAAGTAGCTTTTTGGACTTGAAATTCAATCTACTTTTCTATGTGATTTGTTGCCCCGAGATACATTGCCTTTTATAATTTTTTTTCTTATACCTCATTTGTTTTTTTATAGAGAGATTTCAGTCCTAATCTGAGCTATGAAGAATTGGTTATATAAGATATTTAGTGGAATTCATGCCAACTTCTTCAAATGATTAGAAAAAGAGAACGTGATTTAGAACCAAGAATTTTTAGCTTCTCAAAGTTGTATACTCACAGAGTTGTGATTATCCTGCTAAATAAAGCATTGAAATATGTTCTTAGAACTATTGAAATTTTCCATTTTAATCTGGAAAGTGAGTAAAACCAATCCATCACTTATAACTTTAATGAACAATTGGCATAAGAATTCTTTTTGGATGAAAATTATGCACTGTTTTTTGTGAGTTTTTGAAAAAAAATTTATTTCTTTTAATTAGAAAAAATTGTTCTCATTTCTTAAAATTCTAAGGCCTTTTGTATTTTTGTGATTTTCAATAGACTTTTAACTCACCATGTATTAACTGATGAAAAAAAAAACCCTTAAGTTATATACAAGTTTTAAATATAAACCTTCTTTGCAGGTTATTCCCTAGTTTCATGAACTTCCTTAAAAGTTCAGGCTTCTTTTGATTTAAATAATAGTAAATGCATGAGAAATGGCTTTGCTTCTCTGGTTTAATAGAATTTTTTTTTTAAATTGCCTGCTGCCCATATGTTAAGTATTTGTATCCCCCATCCCAAGTAAGAAGTTTTTCACTTAGAAAAGTCTTCATATGATTAAATACTGTATCTTTATACTTTATATTTAGGTCCGAATAAAACAATAGTCAAAGAAGTTGAATTTGGAATGTGCACAGTCACGTGTGGTAAGTAGAAAAGAGCAGGAGAATAATCTAATTTTGGGGGGAGGGAAGGTAAAAACAGATAATGTGGTAATTGTTTACTTGTAATTTGTGTACTTTCATTCATCTCTCATTGCTTTCTATGTCTAACAACTATAATTTACACACAAAACTCAGCTGATTTGCTTCAAAACGCAAGATATTTCCAGTTTGCAACACCCAAGTTTTATTTTAAGCTAACTCCCTATTATTTTTTTGGCACATAAACTGTCTTCACCAAAGTGAAATCTTCTCCATTTCACAGATGTTCATAAGATGAGAGATTTTCCAATGCATCTCACAGATGTCTTCCCACATAATGTGCTGGCAAATCTATCAAGAAATATGCTTATTTGTAATCATCTATTCCAATTTCTCCAATTTATACGTCATGTTTTTTTTGGGAAAAAAGTATTGGCTTTGTGGGAAAGATGATGTTAAAAGAATAAGACTTATGTTGATCATTCTATGGATGGAAATTGGACACAAAATCTCTTAACACAGGGGTAGGATTAAGGCTTATATGCAATTAGAGGTCAATGTTTCTCAAACCTCTATTCCAAGTGCCTAAAAGGCTTATTAAAACAGTTTGTGGGGCCTACTCAATAGTTTCCAACTCCCTAGACCTGTGGATGGGCCTAAGAATTTGCATTTCAGCTGACAATGAAGCTCAGCCTGATGGTTAAAGGTCCATCTTTTAATTTTTTCTAGGTATTTTCATTCACACATTATAATTATACATAATAGTGGGATTTGTTGTTTAATGTTTATACATATATACAATAAAACAATATAATTTGATTAACTCATCATCTAGTTCTTCTCCATTTCCTCCTTTTTTCCTTCCTCCTGGTCCCCTTCTGTTTTCGTGAGATCCCCACCCCGACCTTTATTTATTTATTTTTCTTTCTAGTTTCTTCAAATGAGAGAAAAAATAAGAACCCTTGACTTTCTGAATTTGCCTTATTTTACTTAACACAATGCCCTCAGTTTCATCCATTTTCCTGCAAATGACATAATTTCACTCTTTATGGCTGAATAGAGGACTACCCTTTGATAACCCCTGCCATAAATGAGGGCACTGAGAAACATTAGATAATTAACAATGAAATTAAGTTCATCTTAAGTGGTCTGCTGTAGACAAAGTGACAGTGACCAGAAGAAAGGGAGAACAATAACTAAAGGATAAGAAGACAGAAAAATTCATGCAGATCTTGATCAGAATTTTTGGGAGTAAACTTTTGGTCAAAAATTATACCTGAATTGTTTTTATTTGAGGTAGCTTTTTAAAAAATTATGATAAAATACATCCAAAATAAAATTTATTATTTTAACCATTTATATATATAAAATCTAGTGGCCTTAAGCATATTCATATTATTGTACAACCATCACCACTATCCATTTTGAACTTTGTCAACACCATGAACTAAAATCCCACCCCCATTTAAACTAACTTTCCACTTCTTCCAGTTCCTGGCAACTACTCTTCTTTCAATCTCTTAAAGTAGTTTTAAACCTGGTTTTTACTTTATATAAGTAAGAGTCAAAATTAGGGGAATCTGTAATAAACATATGATTACTCATTTGTAGCTTATATCTTTCTCTTGCTACTTGCTTGAAATTTTTGCAGGTAAAAAAATTATTTTTTATGACAGCTCCAACAATTAATGTTTTTTATTTGTTAAAGGCATGCTTTAAAAATTGTATATTTATTCTCTCAAAAATTGATTTTTTTAAATCAAGTTTTTTTTTTGGTTACTATGTATCAGGCATTGTTATAGGGACTATGGATAAAATAGTGAAAAACAAAACAAAACAAAACTTTTTACCTTCAAAGAATGTATATTTTAGTAGGACAAGACAAATAATATGTTAGTGATAAACTAGGTGGTTATAAGTTCTAAAGAAAAAATAAACCAAAAATGTAATATTTCAGATCTAAAATGTTAAAAGTATTGTCAGTTTATATTAACTACATAGAAAAGAAAAAGGTTTTAGGTTTTAGTGAAAATTCTATTTAACTCCTAAAAAATATTTTAACACTTAGATACTTTTTTCCAATATTTTGGCAGATATTTAGGTGTTACTTGGAAAATCGCATACCTACCACATATCTCAGTGAGCTGTGTTTAAATAAGTATATAAAATACCTGATTGGAAAATATTTGTGCATTTCAGAATAAGACTGTGCCTCTAAAGAAGCACCTATTGTAAATTCAAGTGGAGCCATACGAAAGCCATTCTCAGCCATCTCTTTTAATTAATTTGTTTATTTATTTTGCCATTACTAGGGATTGAACCTAAAGTTTCATACATGCTGGACAAGTGTTCTGCTACTAAGCTACATCCCCAGCCTTATTTATTTATTTTTTTTAAAGGCAGAGTCTCACTAAATTGCTGAAGCTGGCCTTGAATTGATGATCCTCTTGCCTCAGCCTCCCAAGATTCTGGGATTACAGGCATGCACCATCGTGCCTGATTCAGCTCCCTCCTAATCAAAAGACACTTTCACCTTCCATCCTCCAGTCCCATAGGAAGTCCTCTCTCGTTACTCAGACTGTGGTCCATAAAATGGCTACATTAGCATCACCAAGGAGCTTGTTAAAAATGCATAATCTTAGACATACTCAAGACAGACTGAATCAAAATTTGCATTTTAGTAAGAACTCCATGTGATTTGCAGGTACTCTTAAATTTGAGAAGCACTATTGTAAGCCACTGTTCTAATCTTCAACTTTTCTATCCCCTGAGAATGGGTTTTATGATTAATACCTTGTAGAGGCTGAAAGAGGTAATCTGGTAGACAAGGAAATCAAGGAATCTTGCTTAGCTTGTGACCTTGTAGTCTTAACACCAAATGTATTCAGCAGTGTTGCTGATTCAGAATTTACCATCTCCCTCAATTATTTCAATTAAAGCTTGACTCAGAATTCTAGGATTGGTTAGTAAAAGATTTGGTTTCTTGTAACAAAAATTATCTTGTTGGAAATGGAGATTTGGTTACTAATAAGTTATCTTGTCTATATTTAACACAGAGACTATCAATCTAAATATTAAAAAGTATCATTTATGGTAAAATATGATTTTGGATTTTTCTCCAGAAGTTCCATGCCCCCACTCTGAAAAGGTTCACAGTCAAATTAAGTTTGGAAAATTCTGTGTACTACTGTGTTTCATCAAACCTAATTTTATTTGCTGTAAGAAGCACATTTTATGTATTCTAAAAAGAAAAAATGCTGTCATACCACAGTTATATTAATGTATTCTGATTTCAAAGATGTTAACATGTAAAATCTTTGCATCTTAGATTAACAAGAATTTATATATAATAGCATACTAATTTATTAGCATATTAAAAGTTTCTAAAAACTTCTGTAGTAAAGACATCACATGAAGAGAGAGAGTATACAGAATGGGAGGAAATCTTTGTCAGCTGTTCCTCTGACTGGGGATTGCTATCCAAAACATATGCACAACTAAAACCACCTAACACCCAACAAACAAACAACAAATATCCTTGGCTGGGACTGTAGCTCAGTGGCAGAACGCTTGCCTCTCATGTGAGAGGCACTGGGTTTGATCATCAGCACCACATAAAATAAACAAAATAAGGCTGTGCTATCCATCTACAACTACAAAAAAAATTAAGAAAAAAGAACAAGTATCCCAATCAATAAACCAGCAAAAGAACTACACAGACATTTCTCAAAAGATGCACAAAGAGCCAATAAATATATGATAAAATGTTCAACATCTCTAGCAATCGGGGCAATACAAATCAAAACTACATTGAGAATTCATCTTGAACCAGTCAAAATGCCAGTTATCAAGAACACCAAAAATAATAAATGATGGCAAAGACATGGGGGAAAAGTACACTGTGTATTGTTGGTAGAACTATAGATGAATACAACCGTTCTGGAAAGCAATGTGGAGATTTCTCAAAAAACTAGGAATGGAACCACCATATGACTTAGCTATCCCACTTCTTGGTGTTTACTGAAAAGAATTAAAATCAGCATACTATAGTGATATAGCCACCTTGATGTTTATAGCAGCACAATTCACAATAGCCAACTTATGGAATCAACCCAGGTATCCATCAGCAGATGAATGGCAAGGAAAATGTAGTATCTATACACAATGAAGTCTTACTCAGCTATGAAGAATGAAATTATGGCATTGTCTGGTAAACGGATGGAAATGAAGAACATTGTGCTTAGCCATTCTCACAAAATCAAGATTTAAATATTTCTCTCATAGATAGAAGCTAGAACAAAACAAGGGAAAGAAGGAGGAGGGAATTGGATATTATAAAGATATAGACAAAGTCCATGGAGTAGAAGAGGATCAAAAGGGAGGGAGGAGGGACAATAAAAAAGGAAGGAAATGTGGAATGAATTTAACAAAATCACGTTAGGTGCATATATAAACACAGCACATGGAATTTCACCTTTACATATAAGTAGAAAGAACCAATCAAAAATAAATAAGTAAATGAGACAAAGGAAGATCAGTAGAGAAGAGAAAGGAGGAGTATATGGAGAGAAAGGAGGGGAGGGAAAATCTGGGGAATGGGAACTGAAATCAAATTCCACGTATGTATGGTTTTGTCAGAATGAACTCAACTACTACTATGTATGATTATAATGTGCCAATAAGATAGAAAAAGAAAAAAGAGGTCCTTTTCATTTTATTTAATGTACCATTTTCAAATGCATAGATGATTGTAGAATGACTAGTGTTTTATGTAACTAATTTGAGAAAATACTGTTTTATGAAATTATTGCAAACAAGGAGCTGAAGAAAATTCTAAATGTTATCACTGCGAATTTAGGAGTTAACTTTCTGAAATTAAGAGAAAAGTTTAAACAATTAATAAATTTTAAAAAGGAAGCAAGAAAAGATAAGCCAGACCTGGGTAAGAAAGTAAAGACCTTCTTCAATTCGTTGTTTTCTTAACATTTGCCCATCTCTTTCTACCTAAGGTGTTGGTGTTAGAGAAGTTATATTAACAAATGGATGCCCTGGAGGTGAATCCAAGTGTATTGTTCGAGTAGAAGAATGCCGTGGACCAGCAGATTGTGGCTGTAAGTATTGGCGGGTGACAGAGGGGAAGAGTTCACCTCAGGGAAACACCCTTACCTCAGATTGCCACTGAATACAAGGAGACAGCCAGTGGATGCGTTGAAAGGAAATCTACAATTTAATTTCCATTCTCTAGACACTTACAACTGTGAGTAACTTTCTGCTTTTGCTTTACATTTTTCAGTGACATCTAAAATTTAAAGATATATTATCTGCTGTATACTGGACCCTCTCTCTATACTTGGGGTCTGTGGTTGAGTCTGTCCTCAAGTGGAACACTTTTGATGTTTTGGTCATGGCATTTTATCAGTGGGTTGATAAATCTTAAATGGGGAACTTTGAGGTCTGTTTTGCATCCAATTATGCTATTCTGACATTTTAATATCTCTAATAAGGTTTCCTAACCAGTAAATTGGAAGCCACGAGCAGACCTCAAAGTTCAGTGTAACAGATCACTGATTGCCCTTACCTCTTCTCTAGAATTTATTCTGCATTAAAAAACTGAGAGACATTGTGTCTCCTCCCTTGCTTTTTTTGGTGACTTTATTGTTGTCCTCATCACTCTTCCCTTACCCCACTACATTCCAGCTCCCAATTTTAAGATTTGGTAACTTGCAATATCTAATTGATTTTTATGACTGGGAGTGACTTTTAAAAGTAATGACATATGTAAAGCAACTTATAATGCCCAATGATATTTATGTATTTGATTTTTCTTTTGTTCAGGGGGTAAACCAATTTCAGAAAGTCTTGAAAGTGTTAGATTGGCATGTGTTCATACATCTCCTGTAAATCGTTACAAATATATGTGGAAACTTCTAAGGGCAGACCAAGTAAGTAATGAACATATGTAATCTGGTGCTTTCCTAGTGAGTGTTAAAATTTGTATCCCAGTTTAGATAACTCTCAGAAAACTCTCTTTAAAAGCATTTTGCAAAAGAGGAAAATATTATTGGAATTCAATTTTTTTTCACTATTCAGTGAGATTTAAGACATTCTATATGTCTTAAAGTCAACTAGAAATAGAACTTTTAAACATCCATATAATATGAACTATTTTTATTTTGTAAGTAAGGTTTTTATTTATTTTTAAAGGAGTTGTATATTAATGGCAGTAGCTAACACTAGTTAAAGAATTTTTGCCAGAGTAGCTTAACCCCTGAGCCACATCCCCAGCCCTTTGTATTTTTTATTTTGAGACAGGGTTTCACTAAGTTGCTCAGGGTCTTGCCATGTCACTGAGGCTGGCCTCCAACTTGTTATTCTCCTGCCTCAGCCCCTTTAGTAGCTGGAACTACAAACATGCATCAACGCGCTCTTCTTAAGCATATAACAACCCTACGGTTGCTATACCATTGTATAGATAAGTAATTGATGTGTAGAGAATAACTTGTCTACAGTCATACAGATAGGAAGTGGTAGCATTGAGATTTGAAGTCTGGATTTTCTGACTCCAAAATCCATGTACACAATTAATTAGCATACTAGGCTCCAAGAGTCAGTGACTCTTTTTTTTTTTTTTGAAGGAAGTAATGGTTTTCTGACCTTAAGTGTAGGGAAGAACATTGATACTTTGTTTTTTGTTTGTTTGTTTTGTTTTGTTTTGTTTTGTTTTAATAGCAACCTGTTATACTTGCAAATGATTCAGCAATCCTGGATGTACAAAGAGATATCCACCCCTTGGCTTTCCAGTGTGACACCATGGATAATTCTGAAATGGTAGCATCTATTAAATTCACAGTCTATACATCTAATGGTAAGTGCACAGCAATATTTTGGTTTGCTTATATCTTATACTTCAAAAAGCATCAAAATCACCTGGAGAGCTTTTTAAGATACAAGTCTCTATCCAGTCCAAATCAGAGCTTCTGTTTGAGTAGGTCTGGACTAGAAATGGCATGCAAATTTGCCTTTCTGACAAGTTCCCAGGTGATGCTGTTGCTGCTGGTGTCCACAGTGCTGAGAAACACTGGTTTATATCATTGACGCTTTTCTACCAGATAATAATTAACTTCTTTTTCACAAAGTAGCATTAAATGTGGCTCACTTTGGGAAACTGGTCCTTTAAGACCAGGCTTTTAACTTGAAATATATATATTCTTGCATTTACTTCCATCATAAAAGTGAAAGTGGATTAATGGAATTCTCATGAATGCTTACAAAACTCTTAGCACAGAAAAATAATAAAATTAATTAAAAAAATTAAGAAACACGAAGTCAGAGCACTTTTCTTTAAAAATTATCTATTTGAAGAAAATATTTTTTTGATAATGCAGTAATGCATGTCTCTGTGTCACAAAAGGCAAATCTTGTCCTGAACATAATTTTACATGTTGTACATTGTTTCCCTTGTGAGATGGATCTGCATTCATGTCCTTTCAGTTTAATCTATGATGTCTTTTGTATCCAGGTAATCATTTCCTTTTATGTAGGTGCTCTTAACCATTTATAATGTTGTCATTTTTGTTAGAGGCGTGGGGGACTTGATCACAAGTTCTTTTGAGAATCCAATCAAGGCTCTGGATCTTCTTCAGAGAAAAATGTTCAATATACAAACATGGCAAAAGTTATATGTAATTTTAAGAGAGCTTATGGATTTCCTGAAGCTATTTTTGTACCCCAGGTAAATGGCTTCCGCTATTGTCTAGAGATACCAAACATAATGTAATGTGGTATCTTTATTCAAATGAGAACAGGGTAAAGTGTTTTGGGGGTGATTCTAAAAAATAAACTATTTACTATTTAAACTTCCTTTGATGTGCTATTTAGCAACTTAAAAAATCTTCATGGTTAAAGCTAATAACACTAAGAGGATAATTTCAATAAAGTACTAAAAAACGACAGAAGAGAGGACCAAAGTAGCAAACTAAAAAATATCTCAGCTAGCCTTAGTTTATGATATTATAAAAGCCGCTGGACCATTCTTGGCCCTTGTCCTCACTTCCTGGGCCCTGGGAGAACTGGTTAGTAGTGAGTAGTTTAAACTACTCTCCACCTTCTCTTGGCTAATGTTGCAAGATGCTACATACTCCTCTCATGACTAGAAAGGAGAATGCATTTGCTAGGATGCAAGTTAAGGGCTGGAGAACAGAACTCAAAATGTGCCTGTCCTTTATTGAGATGAAGTTAACTTTGCAGCCTAGGGGTTGTGGGGTAGCTTTGTTGTCTTAGTGCATGCAGTAGCTGAACAACAAAATGTTCTCAGAACACGATTAGATTCTTTCAAAAATTACAATTTGGGTACACTACTGTAAAAGACCCTTTTGACTGTTTAGACATCAAACAAATGTTTGGGTTAGAAATGTCCACATAGTATTGTATTGGCTTCCATTTTATATATCACATTTTTCACTCCCACAAGAGCTGTCTTTCATAAATAGGCCTTGTTATGGCTTGGTTTGTGTGCCCTTTCCCCAGAAAAGAGACTTTGAAGTCTTGCCTTTCCCAGTACTCAGAATGTGGCCATAATTGGAAAGACCATCATTGTAGATGTAATTAGTTAAGATGAGATCCTAGTAGAGTAGGATAGGCCTTAACCCAATGTGACTGAATTTGAAGAGGGGAGAGAGACAAAGGCAGAGGAATGCCGTGTGAAGACATAGGCATATGAGGAGACGGGCACGTGAAAACAGACAGAGATTGGACGTATGCTACCACAGACCAAGGAACATCCGGGGCTCCCAGAAGCTGGAAGAGGCAACACAGGATCCTCCCTTAGACCCTTCAGAGGGATCATGGTCCTACCATCACAATTCCCCCCTTATTTTTTTTTTGCCTCCAGACCTATGAAACAATAAATTTCTGTTGTTTTTAAGTCACATAGTTTGTGGTACTTTGTTATGGTGTCCCGAAGACATTAACACATACGTAAGCTTTGTTTATATCTAAAAAGTGAGTGAATTGAAATTTGACCTATTTTCCATTAGAAAATTTCAATAGATGTAAAAGCAGTCTAGGTAACCCTTGAGAGAAGATTACTGTTGTAATGAACTAAAATCTTTATATGCCTCATTCTCTACCTTCTCTCTCGGCGAATGTTACAGGATAGTACATAAATGGAAACTAATTTTTGCATTTCTCCTCAGGTTTTAGTTCTCAAAGGTTTTTTTAACTTTAAGTTTTTTTTTTTTTTAAAAAACCTCACTCTGTATATCTAACATTATTTCACGATAAAAAGATTTTTAAATCTACCAAAATTGGGATACAAACATGGATGTATTTTTTCCATTATACTTGGAGCTATTTAATATCACTGTATTGAGTTTATACTCTAGAATTACTAGGGAAAATGGGGAGTTATAATCCATGGTGTTTAAAGGTCAGAAAAAAAATATTCAGAAAAATAATTGAGATTTTTCATAGAGGAGACTACTTCTGATACACTGGCACTTACCAAAATAGTCAAAACAAACATTTGCAAACATTACATCTCTCTGGACCTTGCTTTACTTGAACCGTATAAAATGATATTTGGGTCTGATGGTTTCTATGGTCCTTTTTAGCTTTTTTTTTTCCCAATGATTCTAGAATTTGGGGAACAGAAAGAGCCATAAGAAAGTGATTTAATTCACAAAACAAGTAATCCTTGATAAAAATTGGCTTTTCACCAGTTTACAATGTAGCAGTGCTCCCACACATACTGTAAACTAGCTTTGTTTCTTTAGTAGCCTTATTTGCAGATAGAGCAGACACATATGGGAAAGAAGGCTTAATTTAAGAGTAGTGTGTGGATATTTGTATAGAAAGCAATGAGCCTCAACCTCAGTTTTATATTTTTAACATATTAAAAATTAGAGATGTATCATAATCCTAAGCATAAAACTAAACCCATAAATCTTTAAGAAGAAAACATAGAGGGAAATCTGTGTGATTCAGTAGTAGGAAAAGTTTCTTAGACATGATTCACAGAATGATCACAGTAAAAGGAAATAATGAATGTATTAAGACTTCATTAAAATTTAAAAACTTGAGCTAACTTAAAGAAAATCACTTGGAGATTGAGTAGCCAAGCTAAAATATGGGAGAAACTCATAAGACATGGACAGCCAATACAATCAGTTTGAGAAAGTCCTTATCGTTACTTAGAAAACTAAGTACACATCTACCCTATATGACCCAGCAATTCCATTCTTTAGTTTCCAACAGAACTGATATATATTCACAAAATGACTTCTACAAGAATGTCCACAGGACTATATAATAGGCTTCAAACTGGAGCAGTCTAAGTATTCACTAGAGGCAGGATAAATAAATTGGAGGACTACTCTGTATAAAAAAGAAAAACCATCATCATATGTAACAGTGGGGGTGAATCTCCAACACTGTGCTGAGTGAAAAGAAGCTTTATATAGTGTATGTGCCCATTCATATGAAGTTATAGAAAAGACAGAACTAATCTTGGTGGAAAACAAGATCAGATGCAATACTGTTTGCTTCTGGGGCTGGGGCAGGAATTAACCCAAAGGGGCTTGAGGGAACTTTCTGGGATATAGGAGAATTCTTTGTCTCCATCAGCATTTGATTACATAAGTGTGTTTGCCTTTTCCAAATCTAAGCAAATGTACATTTAAGATCTTTGTGCAATTCATTACACATAAATTTTACGTCAAAGAAAAAATATAAGCAAATGTTGAATTCTAGCTATTGATAGGCCACCTGCAGAATTTGGGGGAAATTGTGCTGATGCCTGCAAATTACATTAAAATATATGAAAATGTAAGATGAGTTAATGGATTAATAGTGGGATGGATGGATGAATGAATGAAGGAATAGTAAAAATATTATTGAAACTATTTAAGTGGTGCTAATATAGGTGTTTGTTGGTATGTTCTTTCAAACTTTTTTGTATGTTTTATACATGCATATTTCAGACATGCCAAACAAAGTTCATGAACAATTTTCTTCCTACTAATTCTTTTTGTATTTTCTTAGAGTTGTTTTTTTTTTCAAATATAAAGTTTCCATTTAGATTTTCATTTCCTTTTTTTTGTTTGTTTATTTCCAGTAGAAATAATCATCAGGTGTGTGTTTTCTTTAGAATTGCAGATGAGAAGATCAAGCCGACCAGACACTGATGCAGTCCTAGTTTTTGTGCTGACCATAGGAGTCATTATCTGTGTATTTGTGATCTTCGTATTGATCTTCATAATTATTAATTGGTAGGCGAATGCCCAGGATGCATTGTCACCTTTGATTGACATCCTCCTCATCTTCCCTTCCCTCATCTAGTGAAAAATCCTGGCCATGATGTCTCCAGCATGTGTCTTGAAATTGTCCAGCTCCCTTCATTCCTCCTGTGACAATGCTAGTTCAGGCTATCCCATCTCTTATATGGATGCTTCTAAAAATGATCTTATGACTTTCTTCCCAGCCATGAGAGAGCGTTTAAATGCAATTCTTAGGAATTTATAAGGCAATTCCTTAAAAAATTATTTAATGAATATTTGTGTTGTTCAATTGTAGTTCTCACAACTTTAAAACTTGGTTATTGTAATCTACCAATTCATTTATATGAAAATATATCTAATGTCTGTATGAGCATTACACCCTGGTAAGTACAAGCATTCATCTACTAGCCCAATGCAGCTGGTGCATTACAAACTAAAACTGAACCGTGAATAAAAGACACATCTATATATAGAAAATGTAAATAGGAGTCTCATTTAGTTTTTGTTTTCACTTCATATTATGGTTTTTGTTTCGTTCTTGTTTTTTCCCCTTAGGGCAGCAGTGAAAGCTTTCTGGGGGGCGAAAGCCTCTACAACTGAGATACACTCAGAGCTGAGTTCTATGAGATACAAAGACTCAACTTCTCTTGACCAGTCACCAGCAGAAATACATGGACATGAAGATGATGCTTTAAGTGAATGGAATGAATGATGCATGGATGACATATGACAAACCAGAGGATATTAGAGAATCTCAGATTTATTATTATAAAAATAAAATATATACTGAAATACTTTTATAACGTTGCAACAAATTTACCACAGTCTGGAACTAATTCAATGTGAGGATAGGCTCTTTAATCACTGGCACACTTATTTGTGGTACAGTTATCAAAAGTTACTTTTAATTTGTTCTCAATATTTGCAATTTCAGGTAATAGCTTTGGGGATGTTTATCTAGAGGTGTGTGTGTATATATATATATATATACATATATGTATATATATACATATATATTTTCAATCACTTTGATAATTTTTTAAATTATTTGCCCTTCTATCCTAAATAAGAGAATTGTAATATAAAACATGCCTTGGATATTAGAGTTTTTCCTCCTTGGGTGCATTGGATTGAACTTGCTAAAGCAAATCACACCTTAGAGTCTCTGCATTTGACATATACAAAGCATCACTTGTAAGACATGAAATAATGGTAGTGACAACTGAGGCAGTGACTACTATGTGCCAAGCATTGCTCAAGGCATTTTATGTAAATATTAGATAATTTAATTATGGTTGTATAAAGGAAATATCTAAGAAAGAATAGAGAGGAACTTGGAAGTAGCTAAGGAAATAATATGAATTTAACAACCTGTATTTCTCACAGGAACAGTGAATTAAGGACTATTGAATGACTGCTGATAAGTACCTTCATTGCCCTTAGTATGGTTGATAACATCTCAGAGCCAAGATACTTATTTTAGAACATGATAACTGCCTTTTTGTGATGACAAAGTCTTGATCAACTATTACACAAGATACCCAGATACTAGATAATTTGATTCAGTAGACTTCAGAAATTGCTTTTCAGAGGCTGTGATAGTAGCATAAAATGATTTAATTTTTTCTGTTTAGATGAGTTCTATGCCAACATCATTGATATTATTATGAGATTTATAGGATGCTACCATTAACTCTTTGCACACCTAAGCAGAAGATATTTTAAGTGGGCATTTATGTTACACCTCCCTCCTATATTATAGAAATAGTATGTGTAAGGAAATTACCCATCATTGAGAACTTAATTCTCTTCCATAATGGTTGTTAATTCACTCTAATGTTATGCAGCCAAGAACTATATAAAGAAGTCAAGAGTTCCCAACAATGACCAAGATTGGTGAGCATACCTTAGGCGCCAACATCAGGTGATAAGGTGGTTGACAGACACAGGTTGCAATTTTCTGTAGTCTTGGATGTGGTGTAGAATGAACCAGATAACATTACTGACCTTATTGAAATACATTCAGATTTCCTTCTGTTAACATAATGATAATGTTTCAATTCAAAATTATTTTCTCTCCAGAGTGCTTCTATATAATCTATATGTTCTCTGTTTCTATCTTCTTGGTCTTTTAAAAATTGATGTCATTTTTCTATTTTGGTTTCACTTTATATTTTAAATCTGCTTCTTCAGGCATTTTTGTTTCATTCTGGAGGACAATCTTTTTGGAATTCATAACCCATCACTGTTGTGATCCACCATCTGTCTCAAAAAACATAGAATCCATTTACATGGTTATTTAGGCTTTGAGGTTTGTGCAATTTTATTATCTGTGATCACGTCGTTTGTATGATGGAAAACAGTTTGTCTTTGACAGTTTTCTGATTCTTGTTGAAAATAAAACTTGGTTGCTGAATATCAAGTTTTATTAACATTTAAAGGAAATAAAATGAAAAAAGGAAACCTTTCTCTGATACTCAACTTTAACATTTTGTGAAAATATCAAGTGTATTTAAATAAATGGTAGGTATTCAAGTATTTTTGCTTATTGAGAAGTTAAAATTAAGCAACAATTATTTAAATCATGCTCTTAGAGACCTACATATGAGTTTATTATTCTTTGTACCTATTTATAACTATCCTGAAATCAATCATTTTGGCTCTCTAATGTGTATTTTCACTAAAAAATGAAGTACATTATACTAATCTGCTAAACGAATCTAGGATGAGAAAAGATTCAGAGGTGGAAATGCAAACTATTGCCTTCTATGATGACAGTAGAATATGTCCTTGAGAATGTTCCTTAGCTGGAAAGGAGTTTGTGTAGAGCTACCTATAATGCTCACTGATTTCTTATTCACTCAAATACATTCTTTTTTTTTCTCCACGAGCATTGTTTGTTGAGGATAATAGAAACATCACAGCTCTCCTTCTGTACATTGATTTTCTCCCTTTTCTGGGAGATATGGGTTTCTTCCAGGCATTACTGAGAAAAAACTCAAGGTACTGTTAGACAAACCAGTTGGGGTTAAGCCCTCTCATCAGAGAGCCATTGTAAAATTTGTATTATTTATGCAGTACCCCAAGGTAACTTGAATATGTGCTTTACAAGGAATAGAAATCATCTGACAGTAATAAAATCATGTTCTTCCAGAACAAACAATTTAAGGCCCTAGAGGTATTAGGGACAAGAAAGAGTACAATGCAAGTGATACTCTTTTGTAAACTCTGGAGGAAAGCAACATGCAGCTCACAGTCATTGGAACTAACATGCCTTCATAAAGGAAGCAAATACACTGGGTTTCTTTGCTGCAGGACTAGGAGCGTGTCCATGTGCATCAGTTGAGAGTCCTGCAGGGGAGGATGACGTGGGGTGTTGGCCTGAAGTTTTGAGAGCCTGAATTTGGTGGTTAATGATGCCAGAAGTGATGGGGGAGTGGGGGTCAGAGGAAGAGGGGGATGGGCTGTGGGATGGGGGCTGTGGGAAGGGTGTGGAAGAGTTACAGGCAGATGCAGAGTCGTGGGATCCTGGAAGGTGAAGAGAAGCCACAGCAGAGTGGGAGAAACATAGACTGAACAGCAGGAAAGGAAGATGGACTTGGCAGTAGCATTTGGCAAAGACTAGAGTTGAGAACTGATGAGAAAGAGGCCAGTGAAAAGGGTTTTGTGTAAATCAAGGCAGGATGTGATGAGTGTCTTGGCAGCAGAAAGAAATTAAAAACAGATTTAAGGGAAAAAATATTTTAAGTAAAGCTAGATATGAGGATATGCACGCACAGAGAACACGAACCCACAGCCAAGTAAGACTCTTCTCACCAACTTCCATGTCAAGTAGCATCTATTTTATCGAAGATCCTTCTTTGACCTTCAGTAGCACTGTTTTCTACCTACGTCTCTTTTCCTATGGTTTCAATCTTTCCTTTGGATGCCTCTAATTATATATCTCCAATCTGAACAGATCCTCAGAGCTTTAATTTTGGTTTTCTGCTGAATGGATATTTCCTCATGGTTGCACAGCTATCCTCTCAGAATATATAAAATGGAAATTTTCTTTAATTATAAATAAATAGTACCCCCTCCATTATTCACGATCAAAACCTCATCCTTATGTATGCAAGTAATCACCAAGGCCAGCAAGGTCTCCCCAGAATCCATTCTTTCCATCCCAATTTGGGCTCACCTGTCCTTAACCATCATAGATCCTTTCTCTGCCAGCTGCCTCTGGCTATTCAGTGCCCCTGAATACAGATTTTAACACTGGTGAAAACATTGTTTCCATTTTCTATGTGAAGAATTTTACTTAGCTTTCATTCAGTGCTTCTTTTATTCTTTGACAGATTGATAGTGTTTTAGTTTTTTTTGTTGTTGTTTTTGATATAAACAAAAAACCTGATAAGAACAATTAGAGGAGGAAAAGTACATTTGGGGGCTTGGTCTATAGATGGCCAACTCCATTTGACGGGCCTGAGGTAAGGCAGAAAATCATGGCCGAAGAGTGTGGTGGAGGAAAGCAGTTCAGCACATTATGCCAGAAATGAGAGAGCTATGTTCACCAAGGACAAAATATAAGCCCTAAAGCCACACCCCTAGGAACGTATTTCGTCCAGCCATACCCTACCTTGCCTATAGTTACTACTCAGTTAATCCCTATTGGCATTAATTTACTAATTAGGTTAAAAACCTGATAATCCAGTCATTACACCTCTAAACTTTCTTGTATTGTCTCACACATGAGCTTTTGGGGGATACTGCACATCTAAACCATAACACATAGTGTAGTAGCCCAAACTCAACTTGGATTTTGTCTTTTTAGACCCTCGTGTATCTTAAGTTTCAACAAAATCCGATTCCCCTTCAAGCATATGTGCTATGCCTGCATCTTTGCTTTTATTTTTTCTTTAGGTGGGAATTCTCATTTTCTTTTTCCCTCTTAACTCTCACTCTTCATTTTCTGTTGAATCTCAATCCTAGCCACATGTTATGGGGCAGCCACTCAGAAAACACTCAAGTTCGAATTAGCCAATTTAAGAATTTTTATTATCTGGCCAGAGTCTGTCCTTCACAGAGTCCAATGACCCTATGGGAGAACAGCCCTGAATTGTCTGTAGCCAGAGTATTTAAGGAAGAAAACCATATCCTATGGAATCTGCAAGTTGCAAGCAAGCAGGATACAAGGACTGAGAAAGCAGCAGAGCAAAAGCAGACAACCACATCCTGGGTTAGAGCACATTTGTGGGTCTACATCCTGGGTTCGGATACCTCCATGGGCATATAAAGTACAGAAAAACAATTTTTTTTAACATCTTAAAAATATATGTCAGTTTCACACAGGAGTCATTAAAATGGAGTCACTTTGGCTATACCAAGCTATATTGATTTAACCTTATTAATCTTTATATTAACCTACTAGCCTATATTTATCTATAACTGTACTAGCCTACTGACTTATACTTATCACCTCACATTGTTTTATATCTTATTTCCTGTAGCTTATATTCTATGTCTTACAGTTATATGATTATCCTGCTATTTCTTATGCTTACTTCTAACTTATTACTAGGGCAGTTTAACATTACTCATCTCATAGTACTTATTTCTATTATCCTAATTTACTTATTCTGCTTATTAATGTATCTATAATCTACATCGATTAGAATCAGATTATAACACATGCTTCAAGGTATTTCTTTGTGAAGTTTCCCTTTTACCACT